GGGGTTACTAAATTTCTAGGTGTTTTTGGAGATCCTTCATTTTTTTTTGCAGCCGCCGAGAGGTCTCTTTGCATGGTCGGAACGGAGGAGCGTGACGCCCAACGCGGCCATGGCCACCTTCATGGCACCAGGGTCCTTCTTCACCGTGGTGCACCTGAGTATCGGAGCCTCGGCCGCCTTTGGGGGAGTGGTTTTTTCGGAACGGATGGGATGGGAGTTGGATGCATGGATGTTGGGCACCGGAAAATCGCTTCCGCTCAGCGGCCAACCATCGCCATGTTCTTTTTTTTTTCCAGATGGTCGTTGGTCTGGTTGTTTTTGTACCAAGGGAGCAAGGTAGATTTGTCGCTGGCGATCCAGACTGCAGGTCCCAAATGGGTCATGTCCCACATCTTCTCCACATGTTCTCGTCTCTTGTCCGACTTCTTTGATGCCAGTTTTTCCGGAACTCTATGGAACTGCTGCTGCTGCTGCTGCTGCTTCCTTTTTCTTCCTTCACTCACCTCACGCGGTCCGGTCGGCTCGCCAGTCCTCGGTACGGCGACCCGGTTCCTCCACCCGGGTCCGGTCCAGGCCAGCCGGGCGGGGACCTGATGGGAGCGATGCTCTTCGCCGACAGCACGCTCTCGTTCCTGGCCACGCTCGTGCTCCTCTGGGCGAGGCGACGTGGGTCCGTGGCGTTTCCACGGCGGGAGGTTGGTGGTCCGCCAGTGGTGCTTTGAGACGGTTGGGGGAGGTCGAAGCATCTGAGATGGGAAGGCCTTGGTGGTGTGACATGTCAGTAGTGTCCGCAACAAAGAAACACTGGCTGAATGGATCCACGACGACACCCTGAACCTGGAGGTTTGTCGAACATGAACAGATGGTGTGGGGGGGTTGGTCTCAATCTGTGATGTCAGATGCATAGCTAGGGGTGAAAGGATGTGAAAGGACAAAAGGGTAAGGGCAAACATTTTCCAGAAGACACTCTTATTTACATACATTTATAGTCGTTCATCTCCACCCTTGAGGTTTCCTTCTTGCAGTTGTTTTTTGAAGAGACCAAGTGGGAAGACTAGCGTATCACACCACTGCCTTAGGTTTTCAGGGTTTTCCTCATCAGGGGTTTCTTGGATGTTTCTGCACTGATTGCCAATGGGCGATCACAGGGGGATGCCTTTTCATCCACAAGAACCATGCAAGAGCTATAGCAGCTATACCCAAGTGCGGACTTGACGGATTTCTTCCCAGAATTGGTTATACAGAAAACGGATGGTAAACTAGGGGATCCTCGCAGACCTTCGCTTTAAAATAAACTTTCCACCACTTCTGGGCCAGCTCGAGCAGATCAGGGACACCCCCGAACTGAGACGCTCTCAACATGGGTGTTCACCTCTTTTCACTGAAACTGTGGCGATTTCGCTCCTGTCGCGGTCCCAGCGAACGCCTTGATCCCAACGTCCCAACGGACTGGGACGTCTTCTCCATCAGGCGAGCACTGTGGAGTCGTAGCTTCCACCCCAGCCACTCGGATGAACCGCACGATTCCAGACAACGCCACCGCGTTCCCGCGCGGCACGACAGTTGGGAGAGACCCCTAGCTGCCCTAGCTGGGATCCCGAACGGAGCCCAAATAGAGGACCGGAGCAAAGGCAAGGGAGGGGGGTGGCTCACTCTTGGAATCCCCAAGAGAAGGTGCGGGGAGGAGGCCAGCTCTGCAGCTTGGCTTCTTGTCACCCGTCACCCGTCACTTGTCTGCCAGCGGCAGTCGTTTGAGGGTTTTGCACAGTCCGTCTGCGGTTCCTTGACCCAAGTCCCATTGGATGACACTCCCGGCTCACTGGTCCAATTCCAAACCAGTCTGAACCTTGCACACCCGGTTGCAAACACTCACTGGTCGACCGAAATCAAACCTCGATCACCCACAACCACCATTGGTGAGCTTGCGGTTCCCAGCTCTGGTTTTGTATGGTTTCGTCTGAATTCAGCTTGTAACAAGGAGGATCGTGGAAGCGGACAGTTCGTTTGTTTGGGACCAAGATGTCTGAATTTTCCACCTCCATGTTCGTTGGATAGAAAGGTAATGAAAGGTATCCTTCCAGAAATTGGCTTTGCTACCGCAAAAGAGTCCCTGTGGGATGAACTCCTGGTTACCTAACAGATGATATTGGAATGCCGTTCCCTGGCATTTACAATGCACTCACTCTGAGGTCTCCTGAGGTCCTGAGGATTTGATGGGTCCAGGAGCAACCATGGGCCTTTCGAACCCCGCGAACCAGGAGGATGGAAAAGCAAACCCACAAAACATGACACCCCGGCTGTATCGTTCCCCCGGATTTGCCTCTGTGTGAAGGTCAATTTGGCAGCATACGTGTTCCGTCTTTTTACCTTCAATTCTCTTTTTCATCCTTTTTCCTTCAGTTCCCATCCAACGCGCCTTCCGTCTCAACCTCCTTCTGGGTGGCCGATTTTTTTTTGGGCGTCCGAGGCTATGTGTCCTTCACCTTCCCCTTGGCGTCCACGGCCACTGGTGCATTGTTGGTCCCAGACGCCTGGACGAATCAAAGGCTCAAAGGCTTTCGACCGAACAACGCCGGGTCGGGGTCGGGGTTCGGTGAGGAAACCACCCCACCAGCGGCGAACGGCGAGGGCAGGGTAGGTCGGGCATCAGCTTCGCCAAACGCATTCTATCGATCTGGGTGGCCAAACCTAACTAAATCCACTGGCGGGATGAATGTAGACACACCACTACGTGCCTGCTCCCTTGTCCCTGAGGGTGTGGGGTGAATTGACGGATTGAGTCCGACAGAGCAATTGCAGTAGCAATTGCCTATGCTGCTTTGATGCGCAAGATCCGTTTGATTCAGGTCTTGTGTTGGAACTCCAAGCACAGAGATAGATACATCTGATATCATTTGATAACATTTGCTTTCTCCCCGAAGTTCAGATATCGGGTCCGTCAAGCACAATGGGTTTTGTTTGGGTCAAGACCCTTTGATCTGGACTCCTCGCTTTGGTAGTTCACCTCCGTTGCAAGGAGCGCTTGCCCTTCATGGCCTCTCCGCTGCTCAGTGCGTATGGCCAACTGCTTCTGTACGTCGCCACGGCGGCAGCTTGTCAACATTCATCCGACATCACTGTATCTACCCTTCTATATCCTTCTCTCCTTTTGCTGTTTGTCTATAATATGAATCGACTCTGTGAATCGAAGGGGCTGAGTTCTGGAGTTCTCAAAGAAAGATGATGTCCAATAGATTCAACAGATTTTGACAGGATCCTAAAGACTGTTTTGGCATCACTGCTAGCTGACATAG